CCGGCCCGGCCCGCGGAGTCACCTTGAGCCCCGGCCGAGGCGCCTTCCCTTCCCCCGAGCGGTGCCGGGGCCGCTGTGCTCCCTCCCGCCGCCGGCCAGCGCGGGGGTGGGTTCGCGGTCACGGGTGGCGTCTCGGGAGGATTTAAACCCGGAGGACGGCGGGGAGAGCCGGAGTTGCCGCCTCAGAAACGAAGGTGAAATAACTTCCCACCAGATACGAACCGGCGCGGCACAACTTCCTATTCCTGTTGCTTTTCGTGGCGTGCTGGGGAGGCACCGGTTTGTTAGTGAGAGCCGGGAGTGCGGTGTAAGTCGCTTAAATGTTTAAGTTAGGATGTATTTTCGGAGGAAGAGCATTCGGGGGATGTTTTTTTGCATCGTTGCCGTATCTGCTAAGGTTCTTACATACTCATTTTTATTATTTTTTTAAAGCCAGTACCGGGTGCTCATGAAATACATGTGGTGTCTTATGGCTGAGAGCTGTGCCGGCCGCAAGGTTGCGGACTGTAAATCCCTGCAGTTAATAAAAAACCTGATAGAATCTGTAAGAAGGGCCCGTTCCCTACCAAATGCAGAAAGGAAGGTTTAGTAGACAGGCTAGGTATAACGATGGGTCTGAACCACAGGAAAATACCATGTGTTTTGGGAGGGACATGTCTCATTACTTAAAATAACAGCTCACTCTGGATTGCAAGGACTCCATGCCTGAGCCAGGTGCGTGGGTAGCTCATACAAGGTCTGTTTTGGATGGGAAGGTGAAATACTCATGAAATTCCCCATGTGAAATGCTCATTAGGGATTACGCAACAAAAAACCCTGTAAACAGTTGGCCAGGTAAGTGCTTCCTTGGGCACCGAAATAAGATTGTGTCCTGCAAGGGCAGCGGTAGCCAAAATGGATACTTAAAATGCTTGCCCTGGTGAACTGTCAGTAATAAGCTTCGGTTTTTGCTCTGATATTCTTAACTTCATTTTACACGTAATAGTGTTCAGCTGCATAAATAGAGTGAAGTAATTAAAAAACACATTGTCATTTTCAAGTTGCAGCAGGGTTAAGGTTCAGGGAAGGCTATTCTTGATGCTGTTGAGACAGTATGCCCTGAACCTCAGCAGTGTTTCGTATAATTGTATACATATGCTAATTCCTTGTCCTAATTAATATTCACTTGCTAATATTGCAGGCTGTTTCATACAGGGAATTTGCCCGTGCGGAACAGGTTGCTGAAGTAGGGCTTTCATTTCAGATTCTGAAAGATCTTGAACCTCCACGGTTTGCAGACAGTGGTCTGAGAAGGCTTGCTTCGCAGCAGCATAACTTGTCATGCTCACGTAGCTGTTTTGTCCTGAAAACTGGCTTGTGTGTTTTGTTGTGATTTGGTGCTGTGGAGATTTGGAAGATGTCCGTGTCAAAACCTCTGCTTGCTTAATTGCAAATGCAGGTTTTGTGTTACACTAGGAAAATCAAAGGTGTTAAAAAGCTCCTTGACTATTTTTTTAATGGAATAAAGAGATTCATTGAGGTGTAGTAGCTTCATTCTCCCGCTCTCCGATGTAGGAGAATGTTGTTAGGATTTAATTTCTTCCTCACATTGTATTACACAATAGCTCATGTAGTATTTCAAGCAACTCTTATGAACTGTAGGTTCTGTTAGATTACACTTTACGCTGTGTTCAGTGTGGCTAATGCTTTTATAGAGAGGGAAAGTGAGGTGATACTGATGAGTGTAATGGGTTTGATAGCTTACTGAATAAAGCAAAGGACTTGTAGTTTCTCACCACAGACTTTCTATAAGGCTTTGTAGAAATCTCACCTTATTTCCTTTTCAGATTGGCGATGATGAACAAGGTTACGACCTGGACTTGTTCTGCATACCTAAACATTATGCAGATGATTTGGAAAAAGTCTATATTCCTCATGGGCTCATCATGGACAGGTTTGTTTGACTTCAGACAGTACACTGCTCCAGCTGATTCCATGATGCTGGAATAAACAATCTTCCCGTGATAGTTTTGCTGCCTGGTGACTGTCTAAATGGATTACATTTAATTAGAGACTAAGAAGTACAAGTACTAATTAACTCTTTCTTGTTTGGCTTCCAAGAGTTTGTGCATTTGCAGTTATGCTATTGTTTGGAAATTTGTCATAATTCTCAAGCGAGATTTTGTGGTACGTAGCAATCTACAACTTTCTTTCTAGTGTTTCTTTGATGTTTTACCTTCTTAAAACCTAATTAGAAGACGTTATTTGTTGTGCCAGTTCAGTCTGAAAACAATTACAGTCTCTTGAATTTCCTTAGGATGTTAATAAAAGTAAATTATTCATCACATCATCTTAGACTTTCTCATGTTCGTATGGTAGATAAGTAATATCCAGCTTTCTCCTACCTTCTGGGAAAGACATTAGCCTCTGCAAATATGAATCTGTCACTTGTGTGGTTGCTGAAATCTGTGATGTGCTGTGGAAGTTTTATCTCGTGTGATCAGAAGTGGGTGCATAAGCCTACAAGGCATTTTTGTTTTACTTTGTATTTGATAGTTGCTAATTCCCTTTAAGAGAATGAACAACAAATTCGGTGAAGCAGTTGTTGGAGAGACAGAACCATTTAAGAGTGGTGCTGGGTGGATCTTCCTGGAGATCTTGTGAATAGGAATGCATCTAGATTTTTGCGTGGTCCTGTTTGATTAGATATAATAAACATTCCTATAATTTTTTTTTAAATATTGTAAAAACTGCACTGGAAGTTCATATAGAGGAAAAAATTGGACAAAGTACATGTCATTAAGTAATTGACGTAAAGTTTATAATGGTAGACTTTCTCTGAGAAACGTGCTGTCAGCTGGCACACAATAAATACATACCATGCTTTCTAAAATAAATTACAAGATAAATTTAGAAAGAATGATTGCAGAAGAACGGTGCAGTGTTCTCTTGCTCTGCTTCGTTGGTATTGTATTTTGCAGTTAGGACAAATTTCTGGCATTCTAGCTTGGCAAATAAACAAAAACTCTTTAGTTTACAATTTGAGAATTTTCTTGCTCCTCAGTTAGTGAGGGCTACTGCCTGTTTGTTGTGTTAGCTTACGTTGCCCCTTGCATGGAAGCTGAACCTATCTTTGGAAGGAGAAAACACACCTTCATGTCGCACATCTGACAGGGAAACAGCTTCAGGGTGTTCACATTTGCTTTGGCTGAGTGTGACGTATGAAAACAAAGGTGTTTGACGGTGCTGCTGTTAGATTAACCTTGAAAAGCAAAACTTTGTTGACCAATAACATGTAAAAGTGACTGAAGCAGTAGGCAAATATTTCCGAGCAAAATGTGTTTCCAAGTTTGATGCATGTGTTTGCTACTGTTAGCAGTATAAAATGCTGCTCTATAGTAAGCAAATGAAATGTGTTATGACAGCTAACTCTTTCTTGGTTTTGTATAGGACGGAGAGACTGGCACGAGAAATTATGAAGGGCATGGGAGGACACCACATTGTAGCACTCTGTGTACTCAAGGGTGGCTATAAATTTTTTGCTGATTTATTAGACTACATCAAAGCACTGAACAGAAACAGTGACAAATCAATCCCCATGACTGTCGACTTCATTAGGTTGAAGAGTTATTGTGTAAGTATCTCTGCAGTACTGTGCAATTTTTATATAATTTTGACTAACTTCAAATTATTAACAGAGGTGGTTTGATATTGTTACTGCCAGAATATGCTAATATTAAACAAATAATTAAGGGAATTAAGAGTCACAAGCTAATTTACTCTTTCTCTACCTTATTATACAATCTGTTTTCTTTTAGACCATGATATCTCCGCAGCCCAGTAAAATCCTTATGCAGAGCAGAGAGACCCTTTCCATGTCCTTTACTTGTTAAACAATTTCCTCTCTGCCCACTACCCCATCTCTAAAGCTGTGGCTGTAGAATAATACAGAGGATTCCTCTGCAACTATGGTTACAAAAATTTAATTCTAGGAATTTTTATGTGGCTTAGACATCATTCATTGGACAGGAAGACTTGAAAGCTGCAAAAATGGTTATACCCGAGTTCCGTATCTCATCTTTTGTTTGGCTCAACCAAACAATGAACAAAATTAATTGTATTTGGCCTTGAGGAAATACTAGATTCATAAACCTAGATTTATGATTAGTGGCAACTGAATATGGCACTACCTTTTCAAGACTAAGCATAGGTTGCCTTGGGTTTACATTTTTGGAAAATAATTTATTTTCATTCTGAACACAAGGATTTAACTTTATAGGGAAATTGAACATTCTGTAACATGAGGTAATGTGTAAGTTTTGTAGAAGGAAGCACAAGGTTATGTTGTGCAGGTCAAAGGAAGCAGCAGATGGCTGTTAGTAAGTCAGGAAGCACACAGTACTAACATACTAGTCTCGTGTTTTCAGGATGGTATTTGTGATTTGTTCCATAAGACCATCTGTAGCATGGAAAGAATTACATTTTTTGGTTTCAGTTTAGAGTGTTGGAATAAACTGTTTTGTAAGGTTATGCTGTTAGTTCTGTCTCAGCAACTTTGTGTTCAAGTCAGCAGTATAGGCTACTTGTTGCAGTTGCAGACGAGTGCCTATTCCAGTAGAAAAAAACAGAGGTTACTAAGTTGGAAACTCAACCTCATCCTTCATTTCATTAAACTGTGAAACCAGAGATGGAATTATTTGCAGACTTAGTTTGGACTGTCGAAGAACTTCATAAATTCATGATTGCTGTTGAGCGATCTGTTAATGTTTCACGGCGAAGCCCAGAACCGCGTGGGGCTTTGGTCAAGTCCGTTTGCAGGACGAGCAGCCCTGGCTGCCTGAGGCATACACACAGCTGGCTGTCCAGGGGTTACCTGGAAACCACGTTCACATTTGCTGAACACGAGGCAGTAATTTAGCTATGCTCTCTATCGAGAAGGCAAGGCTGGGCAGAAAGGTTCGTGCCAGACTTTAGTTGTATCTCACAAGGCACTCTCTGTGCTTGTGCACCGTATTTAAATTAGTGGGCGAGAGCTGTTTGACACCCTTCCTTTGTGCTCCCCCCAAAAGATTCAGGCTCCTGCCGCCAGTCCGCTTAACCACTAAGCCACCACATGTCCATATATTCTGCCTGTAAAAGGCACAACAGAAAGCTGAAGGTCTCTATTACAGGATAGTATGTTAAAGAACAGGAAATGATGATTCCCACCTTTTTTTTTGGTGAGGAAATTGTGTATCTTCTGCTTTCTTCAAGGAACACTTCCAATAAGTTACTTGGCTTGTTTAAAAAACGATATAAAGACTACACCCTTTCACTCCACTTTCTGACTAACTTGGAAAAAACTATTGGAGGAATGGTTTGAAACCTGACACCCCCCCCCCCCCTCAGTTAAAAAGCAAGGCTGCCTTATTATATGCATGTTTTCTTTGCTCATACTGGTGTGTTAGGCATGCTTTGGTTCATTTCTTTACTACAGCTGCTTTTGTTTATTTTTCCCCAGAACTACAGTGCCTTGATATTAATAGGGGAGTGAGCAGCAAAGTAAGTTTAATGGAAATTAAAAGCCTGTTTTTGTAGTAAAAATGAGTAGATGAAAAGAAAAGCGGAGAAACTTAGACAGAAAGCTATCTAAGCAGAATGTTTTCCTTGAGGTGTTGGCTTCAGGGGTTTTTGTTTTGCCAGCCAATTCTATAAAAGAATGTTCTCTTGTTCTAGATGAGTCAGGAGCTCCTGTTACCTGATGCCTCCACTACAGTGGAGCATTTAATTTCTGTGGACTCTCTTAGGTGGTTATTAATATCCGGACTTATGTACTTTAGATTGCATAACTTGACAGACTGGATAAGATTGTCCTAACATGAACATGTATGTAACAGATTGACTAGGTCTTCCATCACTAATAGTGTCAGAATGCTAAATCTGCTCTGTAGTTTTTATCTGTGCTTTACTAGATGGAGGGATCTGCGTTTAGTGATGTGAAAACTGTCACAAACTGTAATGGACAGTTGAAAGTGGAGCTAGCTCTCGTCACTGTCTTTGGATGCGATTACTAGATCATGCTGCCTGCCTTTACAGACTGGATAAAAGATGTTAAAAATACCTTGGTCGCATAAACAAAGCAGCTGAACTTGTGTAATGGTTCTGAAATTGATGTAATTGAGGTTCTATTCTTGTTTCAAACCGATCATTTAATATTTACAAGCGTATGGGGGTTTTTTTGTCTTGCAATGCAAAGTTCATACTGTTCTGCACCCAAAAATAATTCTCTAAGAATACTGATATGATCAAGCTGTGATTAAACTTTGCTTGTAACTCCAGCTTTCCGAGTCCTTACAGATGAATTTTAATGATTTGGCAAGCTGTTAAGAAATGGAAAGATAGTGTTTGTGAACAGACCCAGATCTCGGTATTCTTGACAAACAGTTTATTTTGTTTGTGCTACAAGAAGAATGGCTTTTCACCAGTCTCCCGCATTTAAACTTGGAAATGAGCAAGCATTGCTTATGTAGTCATGAAGGGCAGCCAAAAGACAATGGATGTGTTGCACTGTTGCTTGGGAAAATAGGGATTTTCAGTGAAGTACATGGTAAACTCTGGTTAGGCTGGTCATGGCAGTATTCTGAAAGATCTCTGTTAACAAAGCCTTACAGCAAATACTGTAAGGAACTTAAAATGCCTTTTTAAAAGGTGATCTTGGAGTCACTTGAGTCAGGAGTTGCAATCTTGTAAAGCGTTGTTGTTTTCCAGCAGTGACAATGGGGAGGCAGTAAAAACAGATCTAAACAGTAAAATTCTTATGTGTTAAACCACAAAGCATTAAAGTCTTACCCGTACTGAAATCAGAAATAATGCTCCTGAAGATAATTAAAACATTGCTTAATTATTAAACAAAGTTCTTTCCAATGGAAATCTGGTTACAACCAGTGTCGGAAACTCGTTAACTGTTTTTTATCCTTTAATTGCTCAGGAATTCAGTACCTGCATAGGAATGCAGGTTTATATGCCAATGAAGATTTAGGTTTTGCATTGAGAAGTGTAGCAATTTGTATGGCTTTTGGTGGGAAGGAGCAGGAAAGTTTCTGTAGGTTAGATTATGATGATCAGCAGAGAAAAAACACTTCAATATGCATAATCCAAAGGTTTACAGTAACCTACAGTTTTGTGGAAGTCTTGTTTGAGTATAGTGTGTTGCTTTGGAGCCAAACAGATCATCTGGAACCTGATCTTATGCATATACCGAGGAGTACGAGTCTGTCACCCATACACGTAATTTCAATGGAACAAATACCTGTAACATCTTTCTCCGTCGTTGTTTTGTAAGGAATGATGTTTTTTTACATCCTTCCATGGAAGGAGGATGAAATTCCTATTAGTGTAGAAACAGATAAGAGAGAATCCTGTAACATAAACAAGGAAAAGCTTAAAGAAGCTGTCATTTAAGATAATTTTAAGATAGGGTGAACACAGGAAATGTCCTTTAGCTTTATGAATACAGTGCTTAACTGAATCACATTTTTTGTGGTTGATCTAGCCACTATTTCAGGCATTCAGTAGCAGTGTGTATATCTACTGGGTCAAACAGCAATCATTTTGGACATCTTTGGTTTTGGACTTTTTCAACACAGTGACTTTGATGCTGTTCGGTTTAGTTATTGTTTGCACTGTTACAGAAGCACTGAAACAGTTGACTATTTATCAGAAATGAATGTTCCTTATAGTAATGAAACATGGCACTTCAGTGCAATTTGAGTGGTATAACTCAAACTAATGTTTTCTTTAAAACACAAACCATGGGATAAGACTGAAAAGATACTTTTTCTAAGAATTTACTTTTTTTTTTTTTTTAAAATGTGTCATAGGAATCTTAAAAGGAAAGTATGTTAGTCTTATCATCTGGTTTTACATACCTAGAGCTGTCAGTGCTTTTTATCCCAGATCGTTGACATCACTGTCCAAAGGATTTGAATAAGTTTTCTCTTTACTGTCATCCCAGCATTACTTATTGTGTACTTGGTGTGTGCCTCTCTTAAATCATTTGTTTCCCCTTTTTTGTGATAACAGTTTTAGTTTTTGCGTACGATTCATATAGCACGATTATCTGTCTTCGTGGGGCTGTAAAAACAGGAAGCTGTACGTGGCTGTCTCTCTGTTCCCTTGTGGTCCCCTCTCTATTGCATCTGTCATTTCTGGGTTTTGGGAAGGAACTGCTCTTTTGCTGCATGTCTGCGTAGTTGTGCAGCACGCTTGGGCTTCAAGGTGCAGCAGCAAAATGCTACCATTTTTCTAAAAGGAAGATACGTGGTAAGGAGCTACAAGAATAAAGATTGATAAGCGATACTAACCTTTGACTGAAATGATTAAATTGTAGGATAATGTCATCATTTGTAAGTAGTACAATAATAAGCATATCTTATCCTATATGAACTGTGAGATGCTGTCAAGGTTTAGAGTCAGTTGAATGACTTTAAATAAACTGCAAAGGTCTTTGAAGCGCTCCTAGCAGCTGGTTTTAACTTTCCTATGTAACAGTTCATTTACGTTTGTATCAAAGTTTAGTTTTACTGAAGCAAACTGCTGGGTTGCAGTGATGGTGTACCTGTGTTGCTGTACAATTACTATAAGAAGTAATTTGATCGTTACTAATATTTGTTGTAAACTAGGCAAACATAAGCTTTTCTGGCTATTCTTGTAGCTTATATTTCTAAATATTAATCTGTGCCGTGTTTGCTGGCTATTCTTGTTGTTGTTATGATTGCTTATTCTTATCCAAAGAGTAAGGCTTTCTAAAGCATTAAAGTTTAAAATGTAAATTACCAGCTATATAGCAGCATGCAGCTTGGAAATTGAAGCACTTTTTGTCTTATTTCCGTATTTGTAGGGAATGCATAGCAAATCATATCTTTTTAGATACATATGTATATATAATGGTCACAGATGAGAGATGGTGCCTGTGTTTATGCAGATCTCTTGTCAAACAATCTTTAATCTGAAATACCATCTTTGAATTTGATCACTTCTAATTTCTTAGTTAATAGAGAGACGGTGTTGGTGCTGTTTCTGAAAGCATTAACATTCACTGGTTATGTACTTTGCAGTTTTGGTATTTACTGGAAGAAAAATTACTTTAATTCTGGTAATGCTAATGCTCACCCTCCTCTTTCTTATTAGAATGATCAGTCAACTGGAGATATAAAAGTCATTGGTGGGGATGACCTCTCAACCTTAACTGGAAAGGTATGGCTCTTTGTATGTTTAAAAACAAACAAAACCACTAAAGAACCCACATACCTGCATGGTTTTAGTGTGTGAAGATTATAGAGTTTAAAAAAAATGAAATGAAAGAGTTTCACTTAAATATTCGCCACTGTATACTAGGAGAGTGGATAAGCCCCACCAAAGCCATCAGTTTAGTCTGAACTTAACAAAAAAGACCCTATTCACCGTCTTCAGTATCAGTAAGTTTTAGGAGATTTGTTTTTCTGCAGTGCCTGAGAAGAATAATCTTGTGTGGGTGGTTGTCTACAAACTACCTTTAAAAGAGAGGGGCATTGTTTATTTGCTGTGTTGGTGTTCCACTGAAGTAGTGATGGGAATTCATACTGTCAAGATGTGTAACGTGCAGCCCAGGTTAGGGGCTGGGGTTCCCGTTACAGGTAGTGAAGAGAGAAGGAAATGGGAGAATGTAAATTGGGAATCTGCTTTTCTCCAGTGACTCTATGGCGATCGTTGAGCCAGATGTCTGGGGTTAAATCATCAGTGCCTCCTGCTCTGTCAGAACACATTATTTTCCCCTTCTCCTTACACATATGTGATCTTTCAGGCATGTATGTCACAGTTCAACATAAAGGATGTAGGTATGACAGAATTGTACGTGTCTCTGCAGTATGACACTCTTTGCATGACAAGAATATGAATTGTGTAGACTCTGTTGTGATCTCTTTTGCATATATCTAGAATTCTCGAAGTCTAAATTATTTAAAGATCAATTTGTACTCAGCATGAGACGTTGAGGAGAATCTTATTGCCTGCTAATTGTTATTAGAGCATCAGAAATGTTAACTACATAGAATTTGTTGTTACATGTGTAAACATACATAAATGGTGGTACAAATATTTAACTGCAATGAAAATGAGTAAGTTACAGAGATTAATATATGTAAGAAATGGCATATTCTCTAGATAGTAATTGATTTTTTTTTTTTTCTTTTTCTTCCTGCCAGAATGTTCTGATTGTAGAAGTAAGTATTATGTTTCGCTTTGAAGTTCTAATGTGTGACTGGTAAAAGTGTTCTTATAGAAGTTGTTCTTAAGCCAGAAAACCTACAGTTTCTGGTTTCGGGGCTTCCAGCTTCTGATTCCAGGCCTGACTTTTGCAAGCGGGCTCTGAATTTGAAATGGTGTGTTTTGAAGTTCTAATGTGTGACTGGTAAAAGTGTTCTTATAGAAGTTGTTCTTAAGCCAGAAAACCTACAGTCTCTGGTTTCAAGGCTTCCAGCTTCTGATTCCAGGCCTGACTTTTGCAAGCGGGCTCTGAATTTGAAATGGTCTGTGTTTTGAATTCTCAAATTGCATTCCACTGCCAAATTTAACAAGGAAAATATCCATGTAAAATTGTTTGCATTTACTGTCAGTTTTCTGAGATTCTGTCAATTCTAAAATGTCTTCCTTTTTTTTTTTATTTTATTTTTAAATTTTAAAAAGTAGCCTGAACTAGGTGATATTAGGCATATTATTATTCTGGGTTTATAACAGCAAGCTAGGAAATTAAACTGCAGGGGTAGAAAGAAGTTCCTGGTAGGAATATCCTAAAATATGTGAAAAACAGATCTAAGCCCAATGTCCCTGTGTATAATTTGTTTAGAGAATATTGGCATAGAGAACGCTAATTCCTAATTAGCATTTTGCAATTGCTAAATTCCCATTCCTCTGTCTTGTCATGGTTCTTTGGATGATATCAGGTAGAGTACACCTCAGTTGGATTTCCTAGTAGGTACTGTTGCTTAATTCTTGCTTTCATACCTCTTTCTTGATGGACAGTGTTGCTTATGTTCAGTAAGTATTGCTTTGAGGAAGGATGTTCTTGAGTAAGATTGCCAATTTCGGGATAGGGAAGCAGCAGCAGTAGACAGGAAAGATGGACGTGCAATCTAATAATGTCTTAAGGCTCCAAATAATGGAAATGGCTTGTTTGTAAGCAAAGAAACAGCTATGGCAACTAATTCAGCAGCCGAAGGGAAGGATGTTTCCTCTCATAAAATGTGTTTATGTATGGTTTTTTGGTTTTTTGGTTTTTTTTTTAATTTGAGAAGGTTATATTATTCCACAGGAAGCACATTCAGTTCCAAAACTCCTACCAAAATAGTATGTATACAGCAGTCATCTGTGTGACCAGTGGTGTCCTTTGAAGTATATTTTGCTTCAGATAGGCAGATGCATTTAATTATGTATCTGCTCCATTTCAGATGAATGTATGTCTTTAAAGTCCCAGACAGCTAACTAGGTTAGTTTCTCATTTGTTCAGTGAATCATCTATCCAGTGACTTGTCTTATACACTGTCAAATATGAACCCTTTTACTGATCACCATTTTAATTGTCGAACAATAAAAATGCACATTTATTGTAGGTTTAATATCTTGTATACCAGAGCACTAGGCTTTTCTATAGAGCATTCCTTTAATATGCAAAAAAATCTGAACAAAATGGAGGCTCACCTCCAATAAACAGATAAACACACAGTACAAAATCAGTAGTAGGTTCTATTTTTCTTTTGAATATGGAAGCAGCTACTTCTGTTTATTCGCCAACTTTTATTTTTATCTATATATCTGTATGTCTTTAACTTTTCTTGAGTTTATAACCATGATTAAAAGCTTTAAGTATTAAAGACTGTATTGCTGACGGGTGCTCTGTTGAGTTTTTTGTTTGATTTTTATTTTAATTGGGAGTCATGGGAAAATAAGCTGAAACCAGGACATTGCTGCTTCTGTGTTATCTACCTCCTTCACTTCAAATAGACTTGATTTCAGGCCAGGGTAAGAACCGTCCCTCTAAAGATCATGTGATTATTTCAGTCAAAATGAGAAGTCCAGTTCTGATGCTTCAGTTGTAAGCCATATATTCTTTTTTTTCTGCTTATACGTGCAGTGTATGCAATTAAAATGGTGTGTCAAAGTTCATTTTAGTGTGTTTGAATGTAGACTTTAGAACTGCACCCAGATAGTCCCAGTGCAATTTCTTTAGCTATTTCTTGGATCTGTAATGTAAATTACACTCCTTTTTCTTTAATTGCAATAATGGGTTGTTCTGCCTATTTTCCCTTCTTAATTTTCTTTCTGTTGTAGACATCTGTCTCTGTAACTGAGCTCAACGCCAAGACTAATGTTACTCTTACCATATTCGAATTAAACATTGTTTGTCTAATAGCTGCAAGGAGCACAAGCCATAAAATGTCCAAAAGGAGCCAAGAAGGTTATAGTTTAGTCACTGCTTTCAAAGTCATAGATACCCACAGCAGTTAAGAACTATATGTTAATATAGTTAATAGTTAATGTGTGTGTGATCACTTTACTGAGCATAGGTGTGTAAGCACAACAATGGTGTTACATGTCACCTGTATTTGATTATGAACAGTATTTTGGCATATTTTCATGCTGTTGCAGATGAGCAATTTCTGTGGTAGAAACTTGAAAATGCTATTCTGACACGTTTAGTGTTCTTTCTTACTTGAGATTTTTATTTTCAGGATATAATTGATACTGGTAAAACAATGAAAACGTTGCTGTCTCTACTTAAACAGTACAATCCAAAGATGGTGAAAGTAGCCAGGTAAATTTTTAATGATGATTATTTGTGCAGTATTTCACCTTAAGAAGGACACACGGGGTGGGGGGGGAAGGTATAGAGTACATTTCCATGGAAGACAAATGGGAGGGAACGTTTCTGCAGGAGTCATATATGATGTGATCTGTTGGAGTTTAGTATTTGTTTAAACTCCAAAAGCACACTTGCTTGTTATGAGAACATGTGTTCGTTAAGGCTGGTGGAAACACTGTTCTTTCCAACCTTTATTGCTGGAAGAATTTCAGTGCTTCAGAAGGGGATAGCTTGTGCGTGCCTGGTACATGTCTTGCCTTATCATATTATGGTAAGGTTTGTGGGTTTTACCACTGAAGTCCAAGTTAGGTTTAGAAGTATGTGGAAGAATTTAAACCTTTTGGGCTTAAAAAAACACCCTCTCAAGTTGGTAGAGGTATTTTCAACACAAATTTCGTTCATAAATGTAGACTTTTACTAGAGATGGGGATAAAAAAAAAAATCAGTGGTTGTACTACTAGTGGTAGTATCTATCCAAACGTGTTTGTTTCTGCTTTCGTTATCTGCAATTTCAGTATACTGCAGTGGTGTACCTGTGCAATGGAGACTTTTTTTAGTTTACCTTCTTTAATTGTAGAATTAAATTAGTTTGCACACTAACATAATTGTTTGTGTAGTGTGCATAGTGCAGCTGAGCTTTAGAGGTCATTCTGTGAGAGTCACCCAGCCATATGCTCTTCCAGGCTTTTCTACTTAGTTACATCTTTAATCAATTAGTTTCAAAACATTTTATAATTAAATAACTTACAACTAACAAGAAATGTTGAGGATGATAATATATTATTAACCAATATCAATATTCTTCCTACTTCTTTTTCAAATTGCATCTTTTATGCTGCTATGCTGTGGTTGTGTATTTTACAATAAAAGCATAATGATTGCTGGGGATTAGAGATAAAGCAGAGCTGTGTGTAATATCTAATCAGTTGTGTTGCCATAGCAATGTCAAAGCAGTTGTTAGATGTACGAGAACAGCTCTTCTTGCTGATAATCTGGAGGTGACCTGCTGAAGGTGAGGTTGTTGAGGATTTCTCCCTGGCCAGATTAAGTGTGCCAAATTTTAAATATTTGTCAGTGAATAGTGCCCTAACACTGCAGTGTACATCATGAATATAACGTAGTATGAGCAAGGTCCAGTTTCCTGTAGTTTAAAGCTGTTGCAGTAATTTGGGTCTGCCAAAGACCTGAGCAGGTAAACATGATCATGCTAGATACTCTTAAGTGTAATGTTCTTAGTTACTTCACTTGCCTCTCTTCTTAATTTTCTTTCTCTCTGACAATTAAGCAGTTGTTGCAGGGAGATGTGAATTAATGCTAATACGATTTTGGGGCTTCTTTGATGAAATCCTACACCAATTCTCAAAAATTAGGCCTCACAACTAGAAGTTCCAGTAACTGTCTAAAATTGAAACTGTGACTCTGACAAATGAAGCCCTGCCCTCACGGGTGATCCAGGAGGGAAGGAGTTCTGTGCTTAATGCACAGAGTTATGCTGACCTCTGTCTTTACGTTCAGCCATCGACCACCTTTTCTTTTCCTCCCAAAGACTCTGTGTGGCAAAGACAGACAAATGTCAGGCCTGTGGGATTGTCTTCTAAGAGGTAGAAGTGCTCAACTGAATAATGAGTGAATCAAACTAGCAAGGCATTTCTCTCTACTACAATACCCACAACTCTATATCTCCGTGCTTTTTACACCTCTGACTATTAATTCTGGAAAAGTGGAGCTGGTTTGTATCACCTGATCATCAGAACCAATTACACTTTCTTTATGGGTGTAATTAGTACTGCCAATGAAAAACAGTCGAGGACATGCTGTGCAACCGCAATTGAGGTTGCATTTAAGCAGCTGAACTTTTGCTTCATAATACTAATGCTTTTGAAAAGAGCTCAGTTGGTCTGGCCAGATCCAAGTTGTCACCTCTTCACCTATAAGCTAAATTGTGCCTGAAGTTCCTAACAGACATAAAACCCCACTAAGTCACTTTTTGCAATGAAAATCCATCCAGATCAGTATCTCCTAGCCTCTTGCTTGCAGACCTGTTAGTTATCCTTTAGGCTGTGAACCATTCATTATTCTAGGAAGTTTTGATTTTGTCATTATGATCAGCTGCACCTGCAAATAAAATAATAGTTTAACATATGTGTAGTTATGCTTTCAGTTATGCACATTTAGGCCAAATTCAGCTTGTCTGTCATCAAAACAGTCTCATAGATTTGTACCTGTACCCAGTGCTTTTCCATGTTTCAGTTTTACATTGGTTTTATTTGACAGTTTGTTGGTAAAAAGAACTCCTCGAAGTGTGGGATATCGGCCAGACTGTAAGTGACTTTTTGACAACTGTTTTTAATTTTTAAAAGTATGTCACTGTATTGTGTACCCTTTGGTCAAAGTCCAAGGATGTTCCAAATAAGCTTTCACTAATGATTCTTGATAGATTTTGCTCTTATTTAGGGAATTTAAATATTTGGAATGTATTTTGGCAGAGTTAATCTGGATTTGGTCTGATCCTTTTTTTCTTAACTTTTTGTAACATTTTACTATATGAAAAGCAAACTGATATTTTGGTCCAGGTTACACCCTTTTCCTATGCAAATTCTCCAAGCTTGCATGTAGTCAAATGCTTTGGTCAGCAGAATCTGCTGGATTCACCTTTGACACTTTTGGGAGTGATTCGGGTGAACCTAGCCACCTCATGCCATTTGGAAGTCCCCAGGAATGTGGGAGGACCACACGGGGTAGCAGGTCTGATAAAAGTTTACAGTGATAAGATGCCTAAGTTGGCACAAAACCAGTTATGTCTAGACATCTGAATTATCCCTTCTTGTCTTCTCCTGTCTGTCCCGAGGCCAGAAAGAAAGGAATAGCATCCAGAGCAGACAGTGGTACCAGAGTGACGGCTCCTCTTGCCTTGGGAAGGGCTATGTGTTTTAACCCTGTTCCAGAGGCTAAAATCCTGTTAATCTGGACCATGTACTTTCACTATGGAAGTGGAGTAAATTTAGCAGCAGAATTGCATCCTCTGACTCCTCCTTTCCAAGGTTGTACAATATTCTGGAACTGAAATTTTTCAGTGCCTTAAAAGCCTAATTGAGGTGTTCCCCTCAGTCAAGGATGCCCCTCCTTCCTGAGATCTTATTATAGGCTTAGCTGGGTTAATGGTCTGCCTTTTGAGCATCTTGCAGCAGATGACTTGTTTTGCCATCTGTCCGCAGAGGCAACCTGTTCAGTGCAGGACACATGAGCTCTGAAAGAAGAGACAACAAGGCAGTAATGGCTGGGCCTCCATTTTATCCCTGTATTATGAGGCCAAGTAGACGCTAAACATTGCCGTAATTTTTCAAAAAATGCACACAGCCTTTCTATTGGATTATATGATTTATCTCCTTATTTTCCTTATGGACCCTCATTGTAGCCAGGGAGAGAAAAACCACCGGAGCTTTCCTGTGCTCAGGAGTCTTTCATTTTAGCATGAGGGGAGAAAGTAATTTGGAAATTTTATATTACCTTATATTTTATATAATTTTATATTTTTAGTCGTTTTATAGTGTGTGTGGACAGGTTGGACTGATAACTGCTTGACCGCCCACAAACTGTCCCGCTAGAGCTGTTTAGACAGTCTGTGGAATAGCTGATGTGCTCTTTTTAGGCAGCTTCTCTGGGAGAAGAAAAAAACAATACAACTCAACAACCCCCCCCACCTGTTTCTGAAACCTGCAAGTGACTCCATAAAGAACAGAGTGCCCTTTGCTCTTCACTATTGTCTATACCAAGGGATCAGGATCTAAGACGTGCTTTAGCAGCGCTGTCCTGCAGTCATAGCGTTTTCCTACGTATCGGGTCATGGCCTGTGAGTCGCAAGAGTGGAGTTCATCTGGGCAGTTACTCAAAGACGAAGGATTGGTTTCTCTGCAGTAACTGTGGTTCTGACATTCACGTTATCCTCCCAGCCCTTCACAGAGAGTCTTATTGGACTTGCACACCCATAGTTTTGAAGGAGCTGACGGCTGAACCTGCCTACTTGGTATGCCTTTGGGTACCCTTCCTGCAGCCCTACCCAAGGCGCAGGTCCAGCTCCCAGAGGTGCTGCCTTTTGAGTGACACTGTGAGGCTGACTTGTGCTGTGCTCACCAGTTCCACTACTTCTGCACTGGCACGTCAAGCATGCAGGAAGTGCTGGGAAGTATCGGCTCTTTTTCTATGTATTTACAAAGTTGCAGGAATTCTTCAAGGAATTTTACATTCTGATAATAATACCCTGTCTGTAGATTTAAGTGTTTCCATTCGTTTCTTGCAGACTGCATGCTAGCACCATGCTGCTGCGTGGGAACCAATAAATACATCTATTTAATGTTGCTTTAGTTGATGAAATAAGTCAACAAAGTAAGTTAAAATTTTAAAATAGTTCAAATATTAATCTGAGGATACTTGAGTGGAAGAAATAAAGTGAGTTAGGATGCATACATATCTATAAAATTTCAGATTGTCTCTGTAAAAAGGTCTAGTGAACTCTAGGAAGTTCTTTTCTAACATACTGGGTGACTTATGGTCTCTTTCAGTTGTTGGATTTGAAGTGCCAGACAAATTTGTTGTGGGATACGCCCTAGATTACAATGAATACTTTAGAGATTTGAACGTAAGTAATTTTTCCCGTATGTTTTTGTCCATTTAAAACTAGGGAGGAGGAAGGAAGGGAAGTCTCCTTGCATCACTCTTCCTCCTCTGTAAATCATACCTCTTGTGCAAATCTGTTCCGCTGGTGATGCACCGATGAGGGCAAACCCTAGAGCAGCAGGACAGTGTTTTGGAGCTCTTACGAAACTAAAATTTATTTTGCTACATGCAGAGTGGAGGCTACGCATCTCCTGTCAACTTTGAAACTTCACACAAACTTCACGTTATTTCTTATCTTACCAGATGTCTACAACAAATAAATGCATTTGCGTAGTTATATAAGAATTGGAGAAGAGAGACCTTGGAAGTTAAAAGGGGTTCACTTTTTAATCTAAGTCATTACTTCTTCATCTGGGTCTCACCAACCTTACATCAGACACTGGGTGGGATAACTAGAGGGAGGAGAAGGAAGGCAATGTTGAGATTTTTAGACAAAGAAAGGCTTAAGTTGTTCTGCCTAGTATACAAGATTCTTTTGTATGGAAACGTGTATATCATGCTTGTGTTGTTTTCAGAATTATTGAATACATATGTAAAACACTGGTCTCTTACATTACTTTTCTAACAGGAGCTTTTTATTTTACTTTGTTTCAGCATATCTGTGTGATCAGCGAGACGGGGAAGCAGAAGTACAAAGCATGAAAGCATAGTTCAAGTGCTATGACAACAGAGCTTTGAAATGTTTTGTTTACTGAGTCCTATCTTTCACAGGCTTCAACTCTGGTACACCAACTAAAATTGTAGAGTGCCCCAGCCCCATTGTCATATGCTTACTATAATTTATTGCATGTACAATATAAGATCTCGTCTTGTTCATTTATATTTTAGAAATGTAAACAGCTAGTGCAATCCTGCACTCCTTATTTTGATTTGCACTATGACTCTACCGACTATTGCTGCCCCTGGTTGGGTTGTGCTGTTTGTGAGCTCCAGAGTCTAACTCTTGCAGTGGTAAATTGCTTAAACCTCATCAACCCAGAACTGAAATAGTTCAAGTACTGTAAATGTAAAACATTTTATGATAGGGAAGTCTATTAGTAATATTTTTTAAATCTGTAATTTAAGTTTTATATTTTAATGCACAAATGTGATTGTGATTAATGGATAGTTGCACCTTTGGGTGTTATAAAGCATGAGGAGCAGCCAGTTACAGTATCTGTAATCTCCAAGGAGCTCATTCAGACCTCCTGGAGTTGCCTTATTGCTGTAAGGGAAGTCTGGGTGAAAAATACCTTTTTGTTTGTTTGTTTGTTTTAAAGGAGATGGAATGACAAAACAGAATGTTTAGAATCTAGTTTTAGTTGAGCTGCCTGTTTCTGTTAGATTTTTTTTTTTTTTAAAAATATCCATCAGCCAGTGGAATTGCCTTTTAAATTTAAACAATTTTAATATATTTCTGAAAAAGTATTGTAATGTTTACTTTATAAGATCTACAAAACAAAGTACTTTAAATAAAGGCTGTCTCTTTAAAATAAGCCCCATAAATCTATGCCACTCATTCTGTATATTAAAGCACTTTTGAAATTTTCTTCTCAGTAATATTTTTCGTAAGTGTTTCTGACAGTGAAGGCAGACTCTACATTTGTTATCTTTGTAGAGCTTTTGGTTAACATTATCATCTCTCTCGTAGACAGGATAAAGTGCTGAGGGAAGATACTGAAACACTTGCGTATTCTGTAACCAAACTGGATTTCAGAGAAAGTGGTTTAAGCACTGTCCTTTGTTCTGTTTTGGCAAAAATGAAGAGTGGAGATTATATGTTCATTAAACATATACATGTGGAAAAAAAAACCCCACGGCCATTTTGTAAGTAATCATTTGGGGTTGTTTCTTTACCACCTCTGTTCGTGTCGAGTTTAATTCTAAACATGGCAGCCCATCCCACACCTCGTCCTTGTGCCGTGCTTTTCAGTCCCCTAGCTCACACGGTTCTTGTACTTCTGTGCATGGGTTCTTCCACTGTATGCTCGGATTTAACGCTGCTCAGTGCTTAATGCATAATGAAGTTTTTGCCAGCCTGTTTTGACAGATTTTTCTGTGGTTTTGAAGTTTGGGTCATGTTTCTGTACTTTTCCAAGTACTGCGCATTGTCGTCCATCCATGGCGTGCTCAGTTACAACTCTAGTAGTTAGTAGCAAACCTAAAATATGAGTAATTTACACAGTGTAATTTAGGTCAAATGACCACAATGTGTAGGAGATCTATTTGTACATCAAAATTCGCATTAACAAATATTAGAACACTGATCGTGATTATACTATACTTTTGCGATGTTATAGTTAATGTTCCAAAGAGCTTGTTTTTCTAAATGCACTACAAAGACCGATTGTATTTCTCGATGTCCTAAATAATGTTTGTGTATATGCCTTTTCGAGAACCTGTACTGTCCCTGGGACAACTTGTTGCAAAATATACGATGCATCTCCAAGAAGAGGAAACACAAAAGCAACATAGAAAAATATAAACCCCCTTGCGAATTACTACATCCATTCAAGTTTTCACTAGTTCTGGTTGAACTTAAGGTCTAATCTTGAAAAGTAGTGTTTCCTTCAACTTTCTCAATAGTTCCTACTTCACAATGTGTCTTAAAATAATGGCACCTGGAGATTACACTAGAGAGGTGGCTTAAAAGTACCAATTTACACATGAAAACAATGAGAATTGATGATCTTCAGTATCTTTTAGGACTAAACCCTTAAACTGGTTTGTCCTGAAATGTTTTCTTGTCTTGGTTAAGACGGTTATTCAAATGCTGTGATTTGGGAAAGGGGGGAGAGGTTGAGTTAGTCGTAACAGGGGGTTTATGTTCCCCACTGTAGCAGGGAAATTAGTGGTCTGTCGGGGGTAGGAGTTGCAACTGTGTGGACGTGTGCACGTGGTACAGTCACAGAAGAGGTTTGGGAAGATACTCTTGAGCTACGCTGACCCCAGGAGCGATGCGGCAGGATCCCAGGTCTGCCTTCTAACAAACCTCGCCTCTGTCTGATGGAAAAGGTCGATATTTAAAAAAAAACCCCAACAACCCTACTCGATGTTCCCGCATTTCAAATGCTGGGGAACAGGCACTTTTTTTCTTTTGCACTTCCTTCACCTAGGATGATGTGATGCTTGTCAGATGAAGTGTATCACCCCAGAGGGAGTCCTCGTTCAAAAGCTTTTGTTACTCTCTATGAAAAGTGTTCAGAGAAAAAGTTACCCACTCTCTTGCCCTTGCTAGAGCAGTTCTAATGTACTGCAGCCTTTTACAGCACCTGTGCGTGCACGACAGGAAGATAAATTCTCACTTGAAAAAGGTTGAAAATGCAATCGTTACTTTTTATTCAGTAATTTTGGTTAAAAGACTGGGGTTTTAGTCACACCTTTGCAAGTTAAATGCAAACTTTATGCAACCCAGACATATATTGTTAAAACATTATGAAAGCACAGAGAAAATCTTGCATTTGAACATTTATGTGGCATTTGAAATTCATTACAGTTCCACGTTTTATGAATCACAAATGTATGCTGGAAAAATAATTTTGAATATTTATGGGCTTTACTATACTGTCTCACCCTGTGACATCTGGCTTTTCTGTACATTTTGATAATTCTCGCCTGCCGCAGACCGCTGACGCTGCCTGACTCGGTACCGCAAATGTGTGGCTCTGGTTTGGAGTGTTTATTCTTCTTGCTTTAAATTCACACTGATCAGAATCTAAAGTGCTCTAGACGGAGCTGGGAGATGTGGTTAAAAGTCTTTATGTGAAATAGCTGGCAGGCACTTTGGGGGGGGGGGTGAATCCTCGTTTTGAAAATTGAGACAAATTAGGATCTTTAAGTTGCCTTGTAATTGTATATCCTGACGATTAAATGTTGGTGGTGTTTCATTGTCTATTATGCTCTGAAAATCCTGTCAAGCATGCACTAATCCAGCAGTGAGGATCTGACGCTACTTGCAGGGAGCTGGTTACTCACGATTCATTAAAGGACTGTTTCTGCCGTGTCTGACTGCCTTTAATTCCCGTTCAGGTTGCACCTTGCAAGATCAGATCTCGACTGTATGCAAGTACCTTTATAAGTAAATGAGACATCACAGTGGTCTGGTTTTTTTTCCCCTTTTTTTTCTTTTTTTTCGTGTATGAGGACTTGTAATTTATTTAATTTCACAAGCAGTTGTAGTTTGGTAACTATTTTGATGGGGAAATTGCTTCCTAGCTCTGTAAACGTGCCAGACACGAAGGTGAAGCAGGCAGGGCTAGGAAAGCACAAAGATTCAGCACGGCGTAAGAATTGGCAGCGAGGATTTTCACCCCTAGGGAAGCTGCGAAAGGGGCCACGCTAGCCGAGCGCCAAAGGCTGGCGCGTGGTGTGTGTCGGGGATACATTTGAATAGCTGCAACCATACTCCTGTGAACAGGCTTTCTTGCTCCGGTAAAACACCAACTGGTGAATTGAAACATCTCGGAAGGTGAAAATCCTTGACAGAACCAGGTAGGCGAGGCAGGCCTGTGGCGGTGAGTAAATCAAGGTGCAGTAGATTAACCTGTTCCGTAAGAGGCTGGTATGGACCAAGAAGCAGCCTGTACTCTGTGGTTACTTCTTTGCTTACGAATTTCTCCCCCCCCCCCCCCCCCCGCTAAAACCAGAAAGGAAACCGACCGTCTTGTGTCTTCTGCATATCTCCAGGTTGCCCGTAGCAAATCGCTGTGTGTGTAAGCTACAGCTTTGGGCATGAGGTGGGGGGGGTTTTGCCAGACAGTCCATGCTGTCCTACAGGTAGCGATCCCCCACCCCTGCCCTTCACAAATGTAGCCAGGAAAATACCCCAATAGGTACTGTCTGTGTGTATAAATAAGGAACTGTCTATTAAACAAGGACCCATCTTTTTCCAACTCCAGTCCCAGCTCTGTTAGGTTTCTTACAGCCGGGTAGCTCGTCTGTGCCCAATTTGCAAGCCTGAAATCTCAGGAGCACTGGTGGGAATGCTTCAGGATTGCTTTTGGAAGAGACGGACAAAACTTAATTCTCCTACCGTATTTTGCTGCGTATGGCAGCAAAGTAACCCTATTTATTTCACCTGTTCCAACCCTGCCACTGAAAGCACCACGTCTCCCCAGCGATTTTGCATGGGCGAGCGTGTCAACGCCCTGTCCGTTGTGCAGAGGCCGCGGATGCTGGCGCGGAGCTGGGTTTGCTCCTTGAGCTCCAGCGTCCGCCGGGAAGGCCGCCCTCTGCCGCGATGTGCCGCTGCGAGCCCCGCCGGCGTGCAGCCTGCGAAGCAGCTGGGGCAGGGTTTGTCATAAGCACTAGGTGTTGCCTCAGCTGTCCTTCAGTTCGGAGAGGGATAAAATCCTTTTCCCTGGGAACAGACTTTCTGGGTATTGATGAAACGCGCTGCCTTTCCTGCGCTTTCCGCTGGGTAACCTGCGGGGCCTGGGAAGTGCCGGAGCAGCGATGCTGATGCTTCACTTGCCTGTTTCCCATCTGAGGAGCTGGGATGTGATAAAGCCAGCCCTAAGGCGGGGGGAGGAGAGTATGGGGGGGTGTGCACTTTTAAGTGTGCGTTGCAGTATATCAGATCTTTTTCTCCTCAATTTCCTTTCTTGCCAGTTTTCTCTCTTCCATTCACGAAATGCAAAGTACCCAACAGCGATCAGAGAATACAAAATATGAGGTAGAAATGTCCTTTGCAGTGTGAACTCCTTACACTTGCAATTAGAAAAACCATCTTGTGCTTTCTAATAAAGAGTAACCACAAACCCCTCTCTTGTCTAGCTCCATCTCCCACACCACCTAGTCCCCTCCCTGCCGTCAGACCTTGCCTAGCAGTTGTGCACACTCAAGTAATTTCTTTTCAGTGTGAGGTGGAAACTATTTTCTCTCGCAGAGCATATGGCATGAGAACTCACTCTGGACAGTTTATAAATGAATATATGCTCTGCTTGAATCATATTTTGAGTAACCTTCAGTATTCTGTTACTTGAACAGCACACAAGAATGGGTTTATGTGAGAAATTGCTGAGAGCAACGTCATCCTTTGCTTCAGAAATGAAAAGATTTGAAAGTATATTTTTCTTCCATTTGGCGAGTTTGTTGCCAAGAACCACTGAGTCATCAGGGTGCCAGCGCCAGCATTTGCTCTGGTCATCGCACTCTCGCTTTAGCAAACTCTTACTGGTGGAGCAGGTGAGCTGGCTTCTGCTTTGCCATGTGGCTGCTACCTGCCACGTTTAATTTAACCCAAGGAGATTTTGTCCTTCGTGCAGCTTTGCATCAGGGATACTGGCTGCTTCCCACTGAAGCCAGCTGCATAACTGGGTACACAGTTAGAGTCACCTTACTTAGCCAGAATTACCCTTACTAAAAGAGAGAGAGAGAGAGACATATCGAGTGTTTCTTCTCCTCCATAGTGCAAAGAGCAAGACCTGAACTTATTAACATCTAGCACTGGGAGTTGCTGTTGTGCAAGGCGCTGCACAAACATCT